CGAAGCAAGCTGATGAGGTCTTTGAAGCTGACGGCCGGAGGCTCAGCCTTGAGGACCACACGAAAGTCCCCGAGTTGCTTTACCTCGGTAGCTGGTGCTGTCGAGGATTCAGCTGCACTTTTCACACGAGCCAAGTCATCGAGCTCTTTGTGTTGTCTGCGAAGTTCGCGAAAGTGCCGCGCAAACAAAGTGGCTGCAGGGAGAAGGTCAGGAGGAAACCTGACATTGTACTTGGCGAAGAAAGCATCTTCTTGGCGTTGCCGAACTTCTGGCGGAAGAGGGGCCTCGAGGTTCTCTTCTTGTGGGCCAGAGGAGGTGGCGCTCAAGTCTTGCTTGGCTCGGGCCCATGCCACGCGCAAGCGGGCAAGCTGGATTCGATTGTCCTTGAAGGTCTCAGTTTTCTGGAGAACTTCTTTCAGCCCGTCTTCATAGTCAGCCTCGGTGTACAGACCCACAAAGTCTGCTACGCTCTCACACCCCATGTGCTTGAGAGAGTGAAAGACTTCTGCGGCGACCTTGTGTTCATTGACGAGCAGGAGCTCGAAGCGCTCCACGCCAGAAGCCATGTCAGAGACGGAAAGCCACGATTTGAACGGAAGCTGCGGGTGACAGGAGGCACAATATGCGTCACCGCCCGAAACCCGGAAAACAAATTTAAAAAAAAAAACATGTGCAAAACTTCAAAGCACTTGAAAACGTGAGCGCAGCGACCCGGTGTGTGCCTGTTTCTGCGCAAGCGGCTAGCCGGATCACGAGCGGGGCGTTGCCCGGGACAGGATGGCCAGCCGAGTTTCGGGGGCCACTTTGAGGAGACACGGCGCACAGAACTTTCCATGAAGGTCCAGCGCGGCCGTGAGCCCAGTGGCCCACACAATACCCTGTTGACGGAAAACACGACTGGAGCACAGCGGTGTGAGACTTTGAGGTTCTGCAGCAGCATGCCAGAGGCCTTTGGCCGGGCACACAAAGCAGACGGACTCCGGATCGGTAGGAGCATCACCGGCCGGGGCCAGCAGATACTCCGTAGAGGCATCACTGGAAGGGGAATCAGAGCCTCCAGAGGAAGATGCTCGCTCCGTGGACACCGGGCTGCTTTCAACAAGATCCGGCTCCGGGATGGCACGCACGCCAGGACCCCAAGAGGAGGTGGCGATGTTCGACCGCAAGCGAGCGACATGGGGGGCCACCGCACGGAGGCCAGACCATGAGTCGCAAAGCGGCGCGTGTTTAAGCAGATGGTGGACCGAGGCTAAGCACAGCCGCCGAACCTGCGCAGCAGACTCCAGTCGCTCCGAGCTGTACCGAACAGGAAGAGGCAGCTTGCGGCCATCGGACCAATTGCCCAAGCAGAGGCGATCAGAGTCGCAAAGCTGGAGGGCATCCGCAACGGTTGGAAGGAATCGACGAAAACTACGTGTGGAAAAAGTTGAAGCCGCGTGCTCAGTCAGCGACAGGGGTGGCAAATGCAACAGGGAGCGGGCGAAGGCCTGGAAGCGGGGATAATCCGCAGGCGCAGACCGGAGCACCACACTCCCCTGAGCATCAAACCACATGTCTGGTAAGAATGGTGTTCCGACGCCTAAGATAGCACGCACTCGTGCCTGCACATGGCTCAGTAGAGGATGTCCCGGTTCAACGTACATCGGCAGAGCGACAGCAAAAGGCATACCATCCTTTCCGTGAGAGACCTTCCAGACACCCGTGCGTATCGAAGAGAGCTCGGGCTCAAAACTCGCACGAGCGCAGTGTTTGAACCTCAGGCCAGAAACTGCGAAGCGAATGACCAAGCCAGCGGCCAGGGCAAGGGACGACGTAGAAGAGGATGTGGCCAACTGCAGCAAATGCCTCCAAACTTGAGCAGACAAAGTTTTCACTTGCGTAGGCCAGGTAGTGGTGGCACCGGAAGCGGCAGTAAAGTCTTTCAACATTGGCGAGTCCAGCGGGAAGGAGACTTTCAAGTTGTCAGTGAGCCATCGTAGGTGGTTGTACACTGAAGCTGGTATACCAGCTTCCAGCATCGCTTCCAGCATCCCTTCCAAACCCATCCAGTCGCTCGTCCATGCGGTCAAGCTCCGCTCCGTCGAGCGGGCGTCCACGGTCCGAGTGGCTCGTAGTCGCCGGCCTCGATGTCCTTGGCCACGCGCGAGTTCGCGCCGTCGGCGCCGATGACCACATCGACCTCCAGGGTCTTCGTCTCACCTGGAGGTGACGAGCCGCAACGAGATGGGAACGAGACTGGGTGAGGTGGGGAAAACACGAAAAGCTCCATGTATGGAATAAAGAAGCGATACCAACATTGACCCAACAATCCCAATGCAGGTAAATATCCCTACTTGGTGTGTCTGAGATATGAAATCCCCAGCCACACTACTTGGATCTACTTTGTAGTGCCTCACAAGGCCCAACCAACCACCACAGTATGGTGCAAGAATCGTGTATTCTTGATTGTTTGCATACATATAGAGTAGTTGCTTGGTTGAAGAGCTTGACAGGTGGACCTACACTCCATTTCTCATTGGTGGACAAGTACTCCAAAACTATAGACTCGCGGGTTCCCAGAACCAACGACAAACGAGAAACACGACACCATTGACAGTATAGCTTCCACATTTGCCCAATGGCGGCTTGTATGGGATACCATCTGGTCTATGAGCCATGCATTGCCGGCCATGGGTTTGCACCATCTATTGTGAAACTACAGTAGCAGCTCAGGTAAGAAGGGATATACAAAAATGGCTGCATGCAGGGTATCTCACACCAACCTCAAGAACACATCTAGTTTGCGGGGTGCAGTCTGAGTCCGATAACATATTCTTTGGGGTTTGTGCCGTTGTTGTGTCTTGCACTTGACTTCTGTAAACTGAAGAGTTAACCCAAATGTGCATGCAGGACGAAGAGGAGATGCACCCAACCTCCTAATTGGTTGCTGCTCATCTGAAGCGGACGGTGTGGGTTTGATGAAACAACCAGTCTCTGACTAGAACACGTTAATGAGTATCAATGTTAAACCGTTAATAAAGTATCACAACACATTAAAGTTAAGTGTATCAGAAACCGTTAAGAGTTCAATACGTCTCTGACTATTAAAGGCTCAAGGTCCAACCATTAAAAGCAACATCACTTCCTCTTCTGACACTCATATCACCATCGAGTACGCACTGGGCCGGTGTTAACAGTCAAAGGAAACCATGGTTCAACAACTGGATGGTAGTTACAGGAACTGAGCTCAGCTGGGGCAACCCTGCAACCACTTGAAAGATGGTTCAAGTATCCATAAATCTCAATGACCACCAGCGTTGATGAGTTCCCGGCGTCCCGTCCCAGCCCTTCCCGAGTTCACCACGTCGTCCAGGTGGCCCTTGCGAGCATTGCCCTCCTGGCCCTCGTAGTCGTTGTAGGTCAAAAGCTGGGTCGTTGCGGGTCTTTCAAATTAGATTGAACGATTCTCTATACTTTGATATGTTTATATATGTTTATGTTAAAAGATCTATACATATATATATATACAGTGGAGGCACTCAGTCATTGATGGTTCTGGATCGAAAGACTGAGAACTAAGGATTACAATGGTGCATCAATGAAATCCGAATCCGCTTAGATAATGCACGTCAGTCCGCAACTGACAATGGCGACGGTTGGTCTATGTGTGTCAATTTGGATTCAGTTCATGAATGTTCTGGCCACATGCTTCAGGGTCAAGCTAGTGAAGTTCATCTGGACGTCACCTGGTCGACCTAGAAACCTTCTCGGACCCTTTTCACCTACACAGCGCTTATCCAAACGCTCCGTGTATGACATCTTGACCTGCATTGGGATGGTTTACCTCCAGGGGTCTTTCTGGGGGCATCATCTACCAGTGCCATGTGTGGTGTTCTGGGCGATAAAAGGATATGAAAGCCTACAGGTCATATAGATGATCATGGGCTCCTGTTGGTCTGGACCTTCGCCTGCGGATGGACCCTGCGGATGGCTAGCCTTAGCCCTGTGGATGGCTAGCCGGCTAGCTGTCTGGCCAAGTGACGTAAGAGTCGCCCTTGTTCTGTGGCAGGCTCATGCCTCATTCTGGCAGGCAATGGATTCTTGTTTGACCCTGCCACTCGATCGGTGGGACTGCCAAGAAACGGCCAGGGGTGGTTGAAAAAGGGGTCAATGGGGCGGCATCTATTCCAGTCCCATGGAGTGTCTGGGAACGTAAGCTCCATAGTAACCATTCCTGTTGGATGACAATCAGGCGCCAACGAGGTGGGCCATCTGCCTTCAATCCATGTGACAACTTCGGACATGGAACAACTGCACAGGTCCTGCACCAAACTTCCCTGGAAGCCTCCTGAACAACTGGGGTCTTCCTATGTACAAAAAAAATAGTGAGTAAGCTTAAGCTTGGTCCAAGTACAACTTGATGGTAATATTCAACAGCCCAAGTACACGCTGTACTAAAGACGTCATAATCATAGGCAAACATGACAAACTTGACCCGGCATGATTTTCTGGGTCGTCATGGCACTGAAAAGTTGCGATCATGTATATAGACTCATTTCTTCAAAGCATGCTTGTTTCATGTTGGTTCTGTCGTGCAAGCACTTTGTTTTCGACAAATTATGTACCAATGGCCTAGGATTCAAAGAGTGCCAACTAAACTATGGTCCCATGCAATAACACTGCACTACCAGTACCTGCCATGCCTGAAGAGCAGTTCCTACGTCAATTATCTTGGAATGACCGAATGACAAGGCATTCAAACGGCATAATACACGGGACTGGCCAATGACGACTCGTTCAAAACCAACTTCTCTCATCCCTAGCCAATCCATCCCAATCTCCCCACCCAGCTGACGGCAACAAAAACAAACAAGACACCGATGAAGAGGCCGTTGATGAGCGTGGCGCCGTTCTTCTTGGCGCGCTGGCGTAGGAAGTCATCCAAGACTTCGCGTCGGACCATGCCGATGAACCTGGGCGACGGGCGACGCCCCCTTTTTGGGGTGGTCCGGACATGTCTTTAGCTATCTAGCTGGCACACGTGCTCTTCATCAATCTCTTATCTCTTAATCCCCAGCAAAAAGCGACCACGAGCACATCAGCCTTGTCATTTCCAGCAGAAACTATGTTCCAACGTCAGGTCTTTGAGGGGTACCATCCCTGCAAACCATGTTCTGCTTTGCGTTGCCTTTTGGTTGGCGCATCTCTCTCTCCGGTGTGGTCGGTTTTCGAGGGGATCGGTGGAGGAGGGGGGGCGGAGGGCGATCGCTTCAAGAAGATCATCAAAGAATTGGAAGAAGTAGAAGAAGAAGAAGAAGAAGCTTGCAAGGATCAAAGCGGAATAAACTCTTCAATGATTCAGCCATTCTCCATTGTTATTGTTGTTGCTTCAAGAAGCTCATCGTCCTTCAGGGTCTGGCCGATTTGGACCTCCTTGTTGGTCGGGGAGATCATCGTCATCTTCCTCGGATCGCATCACGGGATCGCTGTCTGGCCATGTGACGCTGAATGCCAATGCCACGAAGTAAAACAAGTGGCATGTATATATGTATTATAAATTATTGTAATATATCTGTTGAATAGCCTGTAACAAATAGCCTGTATTTCTTCCAAAGCAAGCTTGCATCAATTTTTTCTGCTGTCACCACCATCATCACCACCGGCACCACCATCGCTGAAATGGACGGCCCTTGTTTTGGGTGAATAATCCGAACATCATCTCAGCTCGTACCCAATGGGTTTCCACTTACCCACCCCAAGGACCCACTTCACCCCTCTGAGAGGGTGATGGGTCATGTGTTCGACACATTCAAATAGGCAAAGTGAGGGTGTTGAGTCATACCATTGTTTCGTTTCAGTGGCTGTGAATCCCAGTGACCAGTGGATACAAGAATGAAGCTTCGGGAACCACTTGTCACTTCCGCATGCTAGCGCATAAATTCCAGCCCAGACCAAGTACCGTGCCGGACAGGTTCCTGGCAAGGTCTGTGCAGTTACACCGTTGTGCCCGGATCCCTCAGTGGAATTTTAGCCAGTGTCTGTAGCTCTGATTCCCTGTGACATCGACTGCACCTCCCGTTGAGGATGGCCCTGACTCCCACCCACCGACGCCCACATAAAGGAACCACTGTACTTATACCACTGCATCGTTATTGTATGAGCCTCTGCAGTTTTTGGTTGGGGTCTACTGCTCCAACTTCCTTGAGCGGGTGGCTGGTAGTCCCGGTTGGGCGCCAAGCTGCCGCACCTGACGGTCCACGATGTCCTTGGGCAAATCAAACTCATCAATCCTGGGCCCGTGGAGGTGCGCGATGATGGCGCTGATCTGCTTGGGAAGCGAGCTCGTGGTGCGTGCTTGCTCGGAGATACTCTCCGAGCTCGACTTTGGGAAGGCACCGCAACGGTCTGTAATGGTCTGAATGTCTCTCAGAAAAATATACATTTTCCATACGCAGTGTTTCGAACGGGCCCCATTTAAACTGTTCTTTGCCTGAGAGAATGGTTTGAAAAAAAGGGGGGCCAATTCCTACAAGGGGTGACAGGCCAAGGCCCGGTTGTTCCGCCCGGCACACGCAAAACACGCTGCGAGGTTGGCCGCGGGATCGCGCGGAGGCCGCGGGATCGGCGAGCCAAGGTTCATGCACAAGGGGATCGCGCCGCCACAGGGCTTGCAGTTGTCCATCTTGCGCTCGATCAAGAAGGTCTCCACGCCATCCTGCGGGACTCAGGACGTGAAAGCCCCGGACTCGGACTAAGCGAAGCTGCATGTGGACGAAGTGAGGATCAACTTGATCTCTCCAACTGTAGGGTGATGTGAAGATTTGGGTAGGCAGCCCAATATCTTCCCAGGATACCTAGACGTACCAAATCACAAACCATGATAGCGGAAAATTGAGACTCCACATCTTCCACAAACAGTTATAGTCTCAAACAAAACATATATATATATAGGTATCCCGTGGTTTCGGGGTGTTCATTGGTTGTTCCGAACCCTGCGAAAACGTATGTTAGTGCAGCATCACTCTCTTGGCCCTAAAAGAGGGGCCACACACCTTCCTGAAAGGCTGGGGCCACACACCTAGCACTTCCAACGGGTGCCCTGTCTGGAGACTTGCAAGTAGGCTAGGGTAGTCTATTGGACACCCAAACAGGATGATCCTGGTATAGATATATGAATTATATATATGAGTTATATAAACGGCATGTTGGCTTTGACCTACCTGGAAGGTCCAGCAGCTAGGTGTTGGCTTGGTTGGCTTGGGGCTGCAGGTTTGATCCATCCCCCATCTATAGGGATGTGTTGGTGGCTTTGAGAAGGCTAATTACGCAGATTCGATTCGAGCTACTATTTTCTGGCAGGGTGCCCTGCATTTCACCTACCCGTGAATCATGTCGTCCCATGAACACCTGCTTTCAAAACGCCTCAGTCGACGCTTTCCAGCTGTTCAAGAGGAACGCTTTGCGCCCCGCCCCGAAGCTACCCGTTTATCCTGTGTCTGGGCTTTCAATGGGCTTCATACTGAAACACCGAAAGAAGAAGAAACGTCCCAACATCACCACAAGCTGGGATATTTCGCTTCAAGGTCTTCCACTGGTCTTCACGCCCCGCAAGAAACCAATGCGCCTTCGCCAGCTGGTCGGCGCAGCTGGCGCCGGCCGGGCCGCCGCCCACCACGGCCACACGGAGCTTCCGGCCTTCGGGGAAGGAGGCACCGGCGCAAAGCACCAGCTTGGCACCACGCCTTGGGCACCGGTGGAGTAGCAGTGGATTTTGTAAAAGGAGTCTTCAAAGGATCAGCGCAGGTGGCTTCACAATGAACCAAGATGTTGGATCTATTTCTACATGTACCACGACCCACTGTCAGGATGTTTAATGGACACCCCGGTGTCCGTTAAACTTCTCCTTCCCACCCAGCCAGTGGCCAGGGAGTCTCCCTAATACACATCCTCATGATCCATCCAAGCTGCAGGGTACGTCCCTTGGTCACACGCCCCTGCGCCAGGCTGGCTCGCTGAGCTTGGCGCCGCCCGCGGCGCTGCGTGGCAGCGCCCACGGCGCCGAGCGCCGCTGCGGAGGCAGCCACAGCGGTGAGGGGCACAGAGCTGGAGGGGGCAGAGGCCTTGGCATTTGGAAGTTGGAAAGTGGAACAAAGGAGTACTGGGACTGGAGAGAAAGGTAGAAAAACCACATAATGGGACTGGTGATTTTGGTCAATTTGGAACCCGTGAAACCACAAGCGATTCTTGGAGTCTAGATTCTTTGTGTAAAGAGATTCTTGGAGCCCTAGAAGTGAGAAATTTTGATAGGGTGTTGCTTCCAAGACTCTGGAACAGGCTGGGCCACGTGTCCAATGCCCGCAACCACTGGCGTGGTCGCGGTCGCACGGAGGGTGGCCACTGGCATCGCCATCACGCCGGACATGGCACCGTAAAGGGATGGGTTTCAAACAAAAATCCTTCAATGGTGCAATGCTATTCAGCCAAAATGGCTGCCAGGGCGCAGTGAACACTAGCAGCTCCAAGTGGCAATACGTACTGCATGCGATATATATCCCCACAAACTTAGAGCTTCTTTTTGGGGGTGGATCTGTGACACAAAAATGATCTGGATAGTTCACCCAAGACCACTAAAGGCCAAACACTTGAACAACCTGGAATACTTTCAGCAAGGGAAAACATGCAGCAAAGCACCACAAATCCATGCGCTTCCATACTATGGATCATACCTTTGAACTGGTACAGTCCAATTTGATCACATGATCCTGGGTAACCCTAAAATATGATTCTGTTCTAGTCTTTTCTTTGTGCCAGCTCCAGCACCAACTGGCCTGGCTCCACGTCTTGTTTGACTCCGCAGACCGTGTTCCCCGGATCCCCCAGTCCACTTGACCCGAAAAACATCCATACGGGAAATCCACCGGACCGGATGCTGATCACCATGTGTCTCTTGAGGTTCACTTGACCCACCCCAAAAGACCCCTGAGGTCCAAACCCTTATGGCCATGCTAGCAGGTGTCCCTCGATTCAGGGTGTGAAGCCGGGAACGATTTCCGGCGCGATTCCCATGTCACTGAACCCGGCTCTCGCCTTCGACATGTCCAGAGTCATTTTGTACAAGGTGTCGAAGAGCTGTCAGCGCAAATGGTCACGAGTGTTTACTACATACAGCTGACAGTATATAGACCCCAAAATGGATAGACAAGTAAAGTCCCTTTCAACATGTATTGAAAACCATGCCACTATCTATTTGGGGACTATATAGATTATATAGAGCTCTTTTGGGTCAACAAGCTGCGTTCCCCAAGTGGTTCCATCACTGGCGATCCGAAAACGGAGCATCGTTGTCGCACTGGCTTCAGTGAGAGTCTTTTCAGATCATTTCAAATGATCTGGCCGAGTGCACTCCAACTCACCTGGGTTGCTGGATACGATCATGGCTACGTAGCTAGTAGCCATGTGTACCGAGGGCCTAGGGAATGGATCAAACACTTTGAACCCGCCTGGTGAATTCTTGGTGCATTTAGCTCCATATCATATTCCAACAGGCATGCAATTCATCCATTGCATAGACCCCTGAAAGCGGTGGCTAAAGCGTGGACAAATCTCGTCCAATCACTTATCCAACACATCACAAATCAACCATTCTGACCTAAATCCCGCCCCACAAAAAAAGAACCCCAGGATCCCCCTATATAAAAGAGGTGATTTGGGGCCATCCATATATGCATGTATATATTATATATATATATGCCACCCCTTTGACCCCTGTTTGTTTTAACCACCTCCTGGCCGTTTCTCGGCAGTGCCACTGGTCGTGTCTGGGACCCACAGGTCCGGCTTCGCATCGGCCTCGCTGTGCAAACAGCGCAGCTGAGCGAAGCTCGTCACCACCGCGGCGATGTCCTCGGTTCGTGCGGTCGATGGAGTGGCCATCCTGCACTAGGTTGAAGAAATGTATTGGATGCAGGATGAACAAGGAAAACATTACTTTGGGAACATCTATATAAACAGGACAAAAACATGGAAACACTGGGGCTGTCACCCCCACCACTATGGGTTTCCTGATGTTTCCTGTATATATATATATATATATATGCTCCATGATTGTTCTTCAAGTCATTTTAAAGCCATTTCTGTGAATTCAAGGACCACCAGTTGGAGGTGCGCAAGACTTCAATTGATCCCACCAGCGGCTCAGCCACTTGGAAACCGGATTATCCAGTCCAGTTGGTGTAAAGGGGACCAGTGTGGACCGTTGGACCAAGGACCCAAACAATTGGGATTGTAGGCACCTCTTGAAGTCAAGGACAATCCTATATATATATATAGGTAAGTGCGCAGCATTTCTGCTATCGCATCTTCTTTTTTGAAATTCTTCTGCGGTGTCTATCACATTGGATGAACATCACTGAAACTTGTCGCGGTTCACCTCCAATCCCATCAACCTCCAAGCTTAAATCTTGACCCAGGACCAAATGAAGATCTGGGATGATGGTTGGCAAACAAACACTTGGGCCCCCAAATCATTCAAGTCATCGACAGAGGTCATTTCCTCATATCTCTTCATTGCTGTGAGCTCCCAGCTTGAAGGATTCTGTTTGTAGCATGCATGCTGCAAGGCAATCCATTGAGCTAGTACTCCCAAGTTTCAGTTTGCGCGTGTCCTTGACATCTCGAAAGTGTTGCTTCTCCGCGAGAAGCAGCTCTGCAAAGTTCCTCAAGCTTCGCTGTTTCCGGCGTCGCCCGCCGAAACGACGCGCGATCGGTGTTTTTTGTCTTTCGCACCTCGCTGTGGTTGTGGGGGGGGGGTGAATCGCAAGGTTAGAAGTAATTCAGGGCCTTTCAATTGTCTGAAGGGCTGGAAATCCTCAGAAGGGCTATACTGTAGTAACTGTTGTGGTGCATACATGCTGAAACAATATGAAACAATCTGAAACATGTTGCAGGTTCTGACCAAAGCTTTTCATCTATGCCTGCCCATGTTCAATAAGGTTTGGTTTGGTTTCGGGATGCCATCGATTTGGACTCAAACCTCCTCTGAATCCATCCGGCTCGAAGCTCCACACCAGTGGTTTTGGACTGCTCGCAGCTTCCACGCTGCTTCCGCTCCCACCCCCCCTCCCCTTCTGACTCCCGTGGCCCCTTGCTCCCCACACGGACCGACTGCCGGTCGCACGACTTGTCCCACCAAGTGGCTGGAAGGCCGTCGCCTCAAAAAGGCCCAAACGCAGGAAGCCTCACGCACCCCCGCGCAGGCGCGCGAACCCGGGGAGGAGAACCCGGGGAGGTCACGGACTGGAAAAAGCCGCTCCGTGGTGTGTTTGTGGATTGAGAGTGGATGGTGATCTAGAGGAAGGAAAGCTGCTAGGCAAGAGGACAGCAGGAGAAAACAAAAACATGTGTGGAGTATGCACCACATGGACCGCTGGGAGAATCGGTGTGGTTCCCTGTCAAAGGACTATATAGTCAGTTTGGGTCTGGATTTATACTATAATTACTGAACCAGCACCACCCAAAGGATGGTTATGGGATGGAAAGCACATGGTCGCGCGGGTTTTATTCGACCACTCAACCACCCTTTGGGTGATGCATTTCCTCAGATGTCCTCCATCATCCACCATATATTTCTTACGTCTTCTTTCCCCGACCTTTGAGGACGCACCACTGCTTTTGGACTTCCCGGAGCCCCCGCGGAGCCACATGTCTTCCAGACACCGCACCACCGAGCCCGGTCGTTCCGTTGGAAAACACGGCGCTGCCCGTGCACCGAGCCTCGCAGCAACTCGCAATGGCCATAGAGTGGGACCTGGCCGACGTGGGACAGAGCGAACGTAACAAAGGCATCGCGACTCGAATGGAGCGAGCTCGGACGCAAGGCTACGAACGTGGCGATCACGTGGCCTTACTAATCTTACGACTCCCTAGGGATCCAAGTACCTCCTCAAATGGTACTTGGACCCTCCAAACCCACCCCAAACACCTTCTCAGAGGGTACTTGGATCCTTAGGGACTACAGTATATAACAAGGACGCTACTAGTAACAGGCAGGGTGATGGCACCCGGTCGTCGTTCTGATTTCAGACTGCGGAGCCGAGCTGAGCTTTGTCGTTCCAGTGGCAAGCTCACCAGTCCAGTCTGAGGTGGAGCTGGAGTGGTCAGCCAAAATGTCAGCCATACTACTGCGGACAACATGAAATGCCAAAAGAACATGACTTGCAAGTCATCTGTTGATGGACTTCTGGCTTCTTGCTCTGAACTTCAAGACAGTATGCTCGCCAGAAAGGAAGCTCCAAGCACTAGATCCCAGAGATCCAAATAACTCCAAGCACTGTGGCGACGGCTGCGTCAAGGGCCGCGTCAAGGACGGAGCAAGGGTGGCACAGGACAAGCTCAGTCCCTATCGGTAGGTAGGGGGTATTGAATCCATGGGCCTTTCCGTTGATTCCGAGGAATCCTCACCCGCTGCATCCGGACCGGGAGTCAGTGCTGTTTTTGACCGGCCCGGCCCCACCGTTTTGCTCGATCTGTTGCAGGTTTGCGGCCACATTGTGTCTTGCTTGTTTGAAGCTGTTGTTTAAGCGGCCTATCTTGGAGTATGACCTGGTGTCTGTTGTGTCCAGCACCAAGTCCCGGATAATTCCATCCTCCGGACTGCTCACATTCCACTTTCGATGGGGCTGATCGAACACGTCGTGTCCGGGTCCCATGCATGCTATAGCACGCGTCAGTGCTTTGAAGATCTCCAATGCCTGACTTGACCATATATTTGCCTGAAATCAGAATAGAAAAACAGAAACTGAGCTGAATCAAACCAAGTTTGCACGGGGAACGTTAAACATCGTTAAACCCTTGGAAGAACATGTTCCTCTACAACAAACACCAGGGAAGTGCTGTTGAATTGTTCACTCACTGCCCTATAATTGTTGAATGGAGAGGACACTTTTTGGATCACTCCTGAGATTAGACTTCACAATATAGTTTTCTGCCAGCAAAGGGTTTCTGTGGCCTTCCGAGGAGCCGATAGCTTCTCATCGCTGCCTTCGACCACCAAACGCCGCGCCAAATTGTTCAAAAGAAAGCCTGGCAGAACTGTTCCGTGGTCTGCGGAGCTGACGTTGCTACAGAGCGCTTTCATGGCCCTCACGGCCAAGCGCACCTGCTCATTCTCACGAATGAAGCTGGATGAAACTGAACGTGCCTCGGCACGGGTGTCGCAGCCAGTGAAGAGAACTAGCTCATGATCATCAAATCCGACATCTTTGCTAATGTTGACGAGAACAATATCCAATGGAAGCACATCACCATCATCGAGAACGAGATCAATCTTGATGGCCTTTCGCCCAATCAGCTTCTTTTGAGGCCGGAGTTCAGACACTCCACACAGCTTTAGTTCCTTCTCACTTATATTATTGCACAGTTGTTGTGCCAGCTCACTTCTGTCGGCGGTGCTTACTTCTTCATCTGTGTAAATCCAAACATCCATGTCAGAGC